GGGGGGGGGGGGTCATCAAATGCATACAAGACCGGGTCATCATGGGCCCATTGAAGTCGATGAGATTTCCAAATCTTCCTCCTGTCCATTGCCTCAAGAGAGAATCCACCACTAAAGGCGGCGCAGCCCATATCCACTCATTATGCACCGATATTTTGATCAATCCTGGAAACTCCAATTATGGGGTTACATATATATAGCCTGTTTGTGGTTGTATGTCTGCACAAGTGTGTGTTTCAAAAAAATAAAATAATAATAATAAATAAATAATAATAAGTATTTGTAGGATAAAAAAGTAGTAAAAGTAGAATTGAAATTTCAGAATATACTATGGTTTATGTTGTAATTATCCCAAAAACATTTTAGTGTGCCTAAAGGGATGCAAAAAGCATCTTCTTGTTGATAGTTTTATGGTTTTTAACCAAGGTAATTAAAATCACGTTTCAGATAGTTGGATTCTATGATCTGAAAATGATAAAACAATTGGATCATATATAAGATTGCAAATCTTGAATTTGACTTGTAGCTATTTGGAATGTGAGAGTTTAGTTATTTATTCTTGACATTAACTCTTTTTTAATTTACATTAATCTCTTAAAACTATAGATCACTCAAAAGAAAATGAATCCCTTGAATCAAAATAAGATTGGTATTTGCCTTTGCCATGTACAAATTAAAGAGAGAGAAAGTTAAAGCAATGATACTTATGAAGAATTTGGTTTGGATGACTTCAAAAACAATGATAAAAACCTTTATAATTGACATGTTTGAACTTCGACATCGTGTTTAAGCTCTGTTTGAGTTTCATTTTTTGAAAAAATAATTTTTACATGACTAAATAGTAGAAAAAAGTTTTAGATTTTTATACAAAATTATTTTATTGAAAGATTATATAGTTGACACGAATTTTAATAAAAACATATATATATTTTTAGAGAGCGAGGCTCAAAGAGGACTTAATTTTATTGTTGATATTTGAAGTATTAATATTTACTCGGTTCTCGGTTCAAATCAAAGATATGATTCATGTGACCTTTGCTATCCAATTCAAAATTACAAGAATAACAGTCTTGATTTAACATCTCTGATGTCTAATTACCTTTAGTCCTATATGACACATTTTCATTAGTCATGTAAATTTGCTAAGGTTGAGGAATCGATTAATAGCTAATGCTAGGTTTAAAATTTTTAAATATTTTATGTTCAAATTGCAGCTCAAATGTTGACTACGAAATCAAATTGTTGGTGGTTCACGTGACCTCAAATTAACGGTTTCAAAATCACAATTCGGATCGATTTGACGGTTTTTGTGGATTTTGCTTATATCCCTAGCTTCTATACAATTAATTTCATGTAATTGCAGAAAATGGAAAAAAAATTATATGCTAATAGTCACAGACTTCTTGTTGTTTTTAAAAATTGAATAATATCATACAGAGAAAATTATAAGCCATGCAATCTAACATAACGTAGTTCCAAGCAATGTTGTTAATGTGATTTTATTATCTTGCTAGAATTTCCCTTCCATATGGGAAAACTAAAAGAAACCATGTATTTTAAGTTTTCATTACATTAATCAGGTATTAGTAATTATTTTTCAAAAATCAGGTGGTAATTACTTTTATTAGGTTTAAATATATTATAATGTTAATAAAGTGATATTATCAAATAATATTAGTTTATCAACATAATCCATATTAATCTTTTAGAATGTGGAAAGAGGAAGCATATCCCCAATTGTCTCTCACTTCAAGTTTGATAATGGTGTTCCCATATTTGGTATATTACCATTACAATTGTAATCACATCAAATCTTCCCATAATCCTTGAAATCATGCGTTGGATCTAATCAATGAAATCAAATTCAAACCAAAAGTCCTAATTTTTCATTTTTCTATCCATATCTACTGTGTTTTCGAGAGTTTTTATCACCGAATTTCATCTAATTAGGGTGCGTTTGGTTGTAAGCATAGAATTTGTATGGAAAGAAGGTAAAATTTATTTGCATGAAAAATTGTCAATTAAATGTGTTTGATTAATTTAATTTTCAACCTAAAAAATATTATACTTGCTCATTTTTTATTGGTGGTTAAAGGAGAGAGAATGGATAGATGAAAGAGAGAAAGAGAGTGAATTCTCTGGAAAATAAAATTATACTCCTGTTAAATATAATATTTTTCTTGATTTTAAGGAAAATATGTTGACGTGACCAAAAGTAGGAAAATGTTTTCATGAAAAAAGTCAACTAGACAATACAAAAGTAGGGATTTGGGTGAAAAACACATTTTTCATGGAAAATATTGACAATTAAATGCACTCTTACTGATTTTTCAACTTGGAGAATGGGTATCATGCGATCATCACTATTCAAGCTTACTGCATCGCGTCAGGCAAATAACAAGTCCAAAGTCATTGCTATCTTCTAATTGACAATTGAAAGGAGCTTTGCAAGGATTACTTAACATCTATAAATTCTTATCTAATTTCTTGATGTGGTTTATTGTTAGTTTTTGTGAAATAATTCTTGTTAAATATGCTTGAACCTGAACTTGATTAGGTTGATATGTGGAGGATTACATGCTTTTCATTTCACATGAAATTTGTTAACACTTTGAGAAGACGTGCTGTCATCAAATTTTGTATTTGTCTGTAACCTAAGATTTGGTTTTGTGACCATAGATTTCAATCAAAATACATGCAGTTCACATTTACATGAAACTATAACTTTACATGCCAAAATACAAGTAGTCTACATATGCTACAATTTAAGATTTAGCCCTTATTTGAGCCCCATTACTTTAATCATAACACTGATTTGATCACATTTCAACCACACATTTTTCATTAAAATAATATTACACGCAAATTTAAAAGTTTTCTTTATTTTTTCACACATTTCCATCAATACACTATTCAAAAATACATTTTTTTTTTATTTTTTTTTGCAAGAATGAGGCTCAAATAAGGGCTTATTGTGTAGCACATGTCATATTTAACCAATTTTAGGCCACTGTCACATGTTTCTATTTGTGATCAAGGTCACAATCACATATCTAACATTCTAATTTATGCAAAATTTGAGATAATTGATCGAGGAACGTTGTTGGTTCCCCAAAAATATTGCCACAATCTCCATAACAAATATGATCACAAACTTTGTTAAGAAATTTTAACAATGAACAAGAAATACTAACCAACATGTATTTATCATATTACATGAACAGCAGTGAGATTGTTGTCTAGCCATAGTTGATACATTATATGTTGCTACGGAAGGTCAAACAACCCAACTTGGACGAGATTCTTGTCTAACCATAGTTGATAAATTGTGTAAACAAATATTGGTTGCTACATACATGTGGATGAATATTTTTACATTTTTAATACTAAAAATAGTTGTTTTTTTATGATTTTTATTACCATTTTGATTTAATTCGATCGATAATTTTAATATATGAAATCATTATACATGTACGAAATTATTCAAGCTTATATCAAATGAATTTATGTTACTTTCTATATGGGGGAAATGTTGACAATGTAATAGCAGTAACAGGCCACGATCCATAAAACAAGAGGCCACATTCAATGCATTATAGGCCATAGATAGTCATAGTTAACACATGTTTGGCCACAAATAGTTACGATTAACATAGATTTGCTCACAAATAACGTAGACATGGTTAAAAATCGTAACAGTTAACACAAATCTTATCACAAACAGTTAATGGAAAGACATTTAATAGGTCACATTCACATAGACATTTTATAAAAAAAGAGACTCCTGTTAAAAATTTATGATCTAGTTACAAACAGACTCCTATTAAAAAATTATGACATACAGACACCTATTAACAAAAGCGTGGACACAAACAATTACAATTAACACAGACCCGATCATACAATTGACATATATTTGGTCATAAATAGTAACAATTAACACAAATCTAATTACAAACAATCACTATTAACATATAAATCTGATCACAAACAACATAGAAAACACATCCAAAGGTAACATTCATGCAAAATTTTTATGAAATACTCATATTGACTTTTTATATCAGAAAATGAATTTACAATGCGTGATCAATAATAAATCTTATTCGAGTGATATTTGAATTCAAAAAATGTAATAGTACACAAAGTTTGAATAAATCGAAATAACTTAAAAGCATAAAGAATATCACGATGTTATTATAAAAAAAAAAATTGTTGAACTATGTAAACTGATTTCGCTATTTTTTTACCTTCGATTTTTCATCTTTATGGTTAAGTGACATCATGTTGCATGTCCCACGATTATGATCAAATTCAATGCACTTTCCACATTTCACAACTTGTGACCTCTCACAAGTTGACGTCTTCACTTTTGATTAGGAGCAAGTACACAGTTAATGGTTAAAAAAAAAAAAATTCAAAACATTAATCCATATTAGATTTTTTCAACATAAATTTAGCAGCACATAGAAATCAATGCGTTTCATAAGAGAAGTACCTCTACGAATTTCGACGAACGAAAATTATTCCTATTGGTTGTCTGAATATCAAATCCACTACACGCTGTCGTAGTTGAAATCGGTGCTTGGAATATAGACAAGAAGGCCCATTTCATTTTCTATATTTTCTGATCGAAAAACTGCTTTTAATTAAAAAATGATTTATCTCCAATACTATTCGAACTATGATTGACCAAAATAAACTGCAAATGAGAGATGAAGTTGCTTAATTTGTGGCCAAATTCACAGTCCAACAGAATGAATTCTCATCAATAGAGATGAAGCGGTTGTTCTCTTCGTGTTTCAATTTTGTAGTTTTGAGTTTTGAATTCATTTTGGGTTTTGTATTTAGAGTGCCTTTTTGAAATCGTTGAAAATGCGTTCTTTTTGCCATTTTGAAACCATTCCTCGTGTTTTCTATTTTTTCGAGTTTTGTACTGAAAACGTCCAAAACGACAAAAATGTCGTTTTGTGTTTTCTTCACAATTTCTTTTACGTTTTCCAAAATCCGTTTTCAAAAACGGGAAAGAGAACCCGTTTTCACCGTTTTGAAAAATCGAAAACAGAAAACGTTCCGAAAACGACAAAGAGAACACGCCCGAAGTTTTTCAATTTTTTTGTGGTATCGGATGTGAGAGATTATTGGTGAAAAAAGTAACTGATTGACTTTATTTTGAAAGTGATAAGGTGAGAAAAATATCCATAATAATAACTCATAATTTAAGTCTCAAATTTTCTAATAAAAATTCATACATGTATAATTTTTAGGAAAGATAAATATAAAATATGATTTTTTTTCATTTTTTTTTAAAGAAATCTACAAGTTTGATATTTTTGAAATTGTAATAGTAATACATGATAGTTGCGAATTTTTCCCATTGGGTATTAGCTCTATGCACGATGGGAAGTTGCAGGGTTATGATCCTTTCACTTGAGTTTCAAATAGAATGTTACAAAGTTGTAGTCTGAAAATCATAATTTCGAGTTATGTTACTATCCGCTGAATATTGTATCATCAATGTACATGTTGTTTGATCAAGACTTAATTAAGCGAAAACATATTCACAAGATTAATTTACGAACATCGTAAAGGAACGAGAATTCCAACGACATTCATAACCATACGAAGATGAAAATAAAGTAGTATGAAGATTTTTAGGGTAATTGGCACAAAACGTTCATACCTTTCAAGTCTATTGTGGAAAACGTTCCTACCTTTCATTTTTTGGCATTTTTGCCCTCATTTCAACCTTTCTTTGCGCTGGACGTCCTTCCGTCCATATTCCGTCAGTTTTTCCGTTAATTAAAGGGTAATTGGCACAAAACGTCCCTACCTTTCAAGTCTATTGTGGAAAACGTCCATACCTTTCATTTTTTGACATTTTTGCCCCCATTTCAACCTTTCTTTGCGCTGGACGTCCTTCCGTCCATATTCCGTCAGTTTTTCCATTAATTAAATACAAAAATACATTTTTCTTTCCATAAACAAGGGTAAAATTGTCCTCACCCACTTCACCCATTTTTCCCGCCATCAACTTAGTCCATAAGTAACAGTAGTAGCAATATGAATCTGAAAATACTTTAAATGATTAAGTTAAATAAAGAAAAAATATCGTGAACACATTATATTTCACAATTCCACAACTACTGTTGCTGTCATCTTGTGTCACTGGAAAAATTTAGAAAGACATATTAAATGGGTAGTCAAATTTAGAAAGTTTGACTACCCATTTAATATGTCTTTCTAAATTTTTCCAGTGACACAAGATGATAGCAACAGTAGTTGTGGAATTGTGAAATATAATGTGTTCACGATATTTTTTCTTTATTTAACTTAATCATTTAAAGTATTTTCAGATTCATGTTGCTGCTACTGTTACTTATGGACTAAGTTGATGGCGGGAAAAATGGGTGAAGTGGGTGAGGACAATTTTACCCTTGTTTATGGAAAGAAAAATGTATTTTTGTATTTAATTAATGGAAAAACTGAAAAAACTGACGGAATATGGACGGAAGGACGTCCAGCGCAAAGAAAGGTTGAAATGGGGGCAAAAATGTCAAAAAATGAAAGGTATGGACGTTTTCCACAATAGACTTGAAAGGTAGGGACGTTTTGTGCCAATTACCCTTTAATTAACGGAAAAACTGACGGAATATGGACGGAAGGACGTCCAGCGCAAAGAAAGGTTGAAATGAGGGCAAAAATGTCAAAAAATGAAAGGTAAGGACGTTTTCCACAATATCCTTGAAAGGTAGGGACGTTTTGTGCCAATTACCCAAAATTTTTAATTGATAAATAACGAAATAGATGCTCGAAAATAACACATTACAATTACAATAAGGGGAAATAAGTTGGAATGGCCACCACTGAAATCATATTTGTTCAAAAGGCCTTTGACCGAAAATAATAAAATAAAAGAAATC